AACCTTAACCTCATTCAACCGATCAGTCTCGCTCTGGAAGATCTCTTGACACGGGGTGCTTTTCTCGGACACAGGGAACCTACCCCGAACCTTAAGATCGTCGCGACGAATCCGGCATCTTTTACCATAGCCTCGGTACACACTCGGAAAATCCGTCGATTCAGGTGTACTTGCCATAGGTTTTTCTTTCCGTTTTTCCATTACAGACTAATTCATTAGGGCGACTATATACTATTGAGAATGGGCTTTCTAGGCCTGGAGTAGGTGGTATATGGAGGGGGGAATCCAAGTTAAAGAAAGAAAGAGCAGCCGACATCGAAGCCGAAAGGCGCTAGGCCGAACCCCAGTCCGACATCGCGACCCCGGAGTCCGACCCCGGATTCTTTCCGTGGCCTCGGGATAAGTTGAATATCTCATTTGTAAAAAAACAAAAACAAAAGCAGACGAGTACATACATAGACCTGAATAATATGTACAAGGTTCATCCCCACGCTATTCACATCCATCCACTCATAGAATGAGCGGAACTGGTTCCGTATTCCCTATATTGTACGTCGATGTAATCGTCTTCCCATCCTCACCCGGCTGTTTCATTATTATGGCTACACACATTAGGTATCTTTTATATGGTACACCCATACAAAAGGTCGATGGTGAGGATATTTCAATAACCTGGATTCTCTTAACCTTCGAACTATGTATAATAATGAAACAGACCCAGCCCGTGAACGTGGGTGGGGCTAGAAAGACGATTACATTGGTATACAATGTGTTTTTGTTTTTAAACCAAGAGGGTTGTTCTATTCACAAGTCCCCATTAATTCAAACCCCCAGACGCCATCTATGCAAGAATTCTACTGAGTTGCGCACTGCGCCGGTTCATCGTCGTCTTCCTCGTCTTCCCATCCTGCTGCGTCCTGGCCATCCTGCGCACCGAAGTCCTCGATCTGACCCTTGGGGTCGTATTCAACTTCGTCCACGGTGTCGGCCTTGATAGGAGCGCTGGGTTTGGGGAGAATTTCCTTGAGCTTCTCCAGCATCTCTGGAGTGGGCTTCCACCCGTTATCGGGGAACTTGACATCAACAACCAAGTACAGGTCACCACGGGAATCGACACGCTTCATCGGCATTCCCTCTCCGGGAACCTTGAGGACCTGTCCGGGTGAGAGGATAGCGCCGGCGGTGAGGGGGTGAGTGAGCTCAATGCCACGGCCATCGAGGTGCTTGATCACGACGCGGGAGAACCCGGTCAAGGATTCAGCAAGAGTGACTTCAATAGTTGCGCGCAGATCTGAACCGGCCCGTGTAAACACGGGGTGTTCTTCCTCTACGACTTTGAAAACAATGTCGCCGGGCTCTTGATCGGGCACTTGGTCGGCCTCGCCTTCCAAAACAATCCGGTCTCCTTGCCTAGAGCACAGTAAGTATGTGATTCCGTTAGATAGAAAAAAAGGCCATCTTACCTAGCGCCTCGGGGGATGTAGATCTCCAAGATCTTCTTCGCCTCGGTTGTTTTCGTGCCCTTGCACTTCTTACACTTATCCTTCGGGGCGAAATATGAGCCCTCTCCGTTACATGTGGTGCAGATAACCGTCTGCTGGGTCACGAACTGGCCCATGCGCTGCAAGACCTCCTTGTAGCCCTGGCCACCGCAAGTCGAGCACTTTTTGGCAGTGGCCTTTTCCTTGCCACCCTTGCCCTTGCAATGTCCGCAAATGACGTTCTTGACGCTGGAAAACCTTACTGTCTTGCCCTTGTACAAATCCTCCAGGCTGACTTCGTAATCTTGCTCTTCGCTGGGGCTCTTGCGCGGTTTGTTGGGGCGACCACCGGGCATTCCTCCCATTCCTCCCATGCCAGGCATCCCGCCCATACCACCCATACCGCCCATGCCGCCGCCGAACATCTGTGCCAGCAAGTCATCTAGGTCAGGTTGTCCTGCCATTCCCGGCTCACCCGAGCCGTTGAAGGCAGACATGCCGTGTGTGTTGTAGAGGTGTCGCTTGTCATCGTCGTAAAGAATATCATAGGCCTCTTGCACAGCCTTAAACCGGATTGAAGCTTCCTCGCGCTCGGATTCGGGGACCTTGTCGGGGTGGTTGGCCAAAGCCGCCTATTGGAAAGCTGCCTGTCAGTATCGCTGGAATCCGGAGACGATCGGGGTTCGTCTTGCCTTGCGGTATGCCTTGCGGATATCATCTTTAGTTGAGCTTTCATGGATCTCTAGGACCTCTGTATGAATGAATAACTGATTAATATGGTATTCCTGTATAGTTGATCTGCGCAAATGAGCACACACCGTAGAGGTCAACTTCAACCGCAGCCACTGAGAACATTGTTAGTAGAGTCTCAAGTGACACACAACTTTCCAACGTACTTTTCAGTGATTATTTTGTAGAAAACACGATCGGAATTTTCTTCAATAGAAAAAGACCGTTGACTTAAGCCCAATAGTAAAAGAGAGAGGTTGGTGAACGAGAGGTGAGAGCGGGAGTTGTTGATCCAAAGAAGTTGAGAAATTTTGTTCGGGAGCTCCGCGCCGCAACTCCGCAACTCCACAACATATCAAAAAGATCGGCCATTCCTCTATTTCGCAATGAGATGTCCCCAAGGGCTACTTGCCAGGCGATCTTGGACCATCCAATGTAGAGCCTTCTCCTCTTCTCCGGCTGCCCAAGCACCTAATTTGAAGAACAAACTGCCGAATGGCCCTGCGCGCACGCGGTTTGCGCCCTCGCCCACCGGATACCTCCATCTAGGCTCCCTACGGACAGCTCTATTCAACTATTTACTGGCCAAACGGACCGGTGGTCAATTTCTGTTGCGCATTGAGGATACGGACCAGGTTCGTGGATTGCGCTCCGTTGCGTGGACTACGACTGATTACGGTAGAAACGGACGATTCCCGGGGCGGAACAGCGACTCTACGATGATCTCCAATGGGCAGGATTGAATTGGGATGAAGGTCAGTTTGAAACACATCCAAAAATGGAGAGAAATTGCTGACTCTCGCTTTGTTGACAGGTCCCATCGTTGGTGGTCCCTATGGACCTTATAGACAAGTGAGGCATCGCTCCTTTGTCGCAAGAAATTAATATCTAATATTTGTCCCTGTGCAGTCCGAACGAACCGCTTTGTATCAGTCCCACGCCAATGATCTTGTCTCCAATGGCCATGCATACCGATGCTTCTGCTCTGCAGAACGATTGGATTCGATCGCCCGTCACCGCAGCGAGGCAGGACTGCCGCCTGGCTATGACCGGAAATGCGGCGACGTATCTGCCGAAGAATCAGAAGATCGAGCAGCCAAGGGAGAGGCACACATTATTCGACTAAAAGTGGAGGAATACCCCATGTTCAATGATCTGGTTTATGGCAAATCCGGTCAGAATCACCAGAGCAACTCGAAGCTGGATTTTATCGACCGTGTCTACAATGACCCAGTCCTTATCAAATCGGATGGACACCCCACGTATCACTTGGCAAATGTTGTGGATGATCATTGCATGAAGATCACCCATGTTATCCGAGGGACGGTGAGTTTGCTTACTATATCTGTAGCTATCAAGTCACAAGATACTGAACTAACGTCTATCAGGAATGGATGTCATCGACACCTATGCACATGGCGCTATATAATGCCTTCAAATGGACGCCACCAAGCTTTGCTCATGTCCCTTTGCTCGTCGACAAAAGTGGACAAAAGCTCAGCAAGCGCAACGCAGATATCGACCTCTCGTCATTCAAGGACAAGCAAGGGATCCTCCCATTCACCTTGGTGAACTTCACTTCACTTCTAGGCTGGTCGCATTCCGAAAAGTCTGATGTGTTAAGTCTGAAGGAACTAGAACGGATTGTATGTTCTTAGTCTCTCGAAAACACCCCAACCTCCCTGCTAACATTGATACCAGTTCAATTTGAAAATCACTCGAGGAAACACGGTTGTCTCCTTTGAAAAACTCCAGTTTCTCCAGAAGGCACATGTCCAACGCTTGGTCAAAAGCGGCGGGCCTGAGTTCGACGAGATGGTGAAGAAGGTGAGCTTGGTCGTGGAAGAAAGCTACCCTCTCGACAAACTGTAAGTCAGCCATCAGCCGTAAAGAATTCACGCGTGTATTACATAGTACCTAATAGCTGACACCTAGCAGCACCACGATCCTCAACGGTCGCACTCTCTCCGAATACATCGCGCCCCTCATCCGCGCAGATGTCAACAACTACACAAACGCAAAGGAGTTCGCCCAGCGTAACTCTAACTTCTTTACCCCCAAACTGGACAGAGCTCCTTACAAACCGGCCTCACCCCAATCCTCCCCAGAAGTCCCAATCCAAGCGCTGCACACTGCAGCAGCCGCCTTAACCCTTGTCCCATCCGCGGCCTGGAATATCGACACTCACCGCGACAACATCAACAGCTATGAAGGCGCGGAAAGCGTTGTTTTCCCCACGTCTGAGCCAGAGACACCCGTTGGCTCGAAGAACGCAGGAAAGATATTCAAGAAGGAGCTGTATCACTACCTCCGCTGGGCGCTGTTGGCTTCTGCTCCTGGGCCTGGAATCTCAGAGACCATGGTAGTTCTCGGGAGAGATGAGACACTTCGCCGAGTGCAGGACGCCAAGGCGTTGACACAGTCCCTTGTTCCTTCTGCTGGCCAGAGAGTTCCTAAGGGAACCTTGCCTGAAGATCATAGTTGGATGGGGACTCTTGCGACTAGCCGGTAATGTAGAATTAAGAGATCGAGTGACTGTACTATAGCTGTATCCGATATGACCCAATTCCAATATTTTTACTGAAGACAAGACATTGATGGATTCAATCGCTTGCTTAGCAGGTTGTCCGTTTTTAATTGCGGTGAATAACTTCATAGCGAGCGGACGCCAGAGCTATGATTTGTCCATGAATTTACTGATTGACTGATATAGGGCGGAAAAAAAGAACGTGTATTGCGGTTTAAAAGCTGCAAGTCTTTGTGAACAACTTGATAAGACCCATCCATCAATCAGAGCTCCTGATTGCTTCCTGTTGACTGCTCCAGATGATGCAGACTTGAGAACACGCCTTCCTTGTTCAACAAGTCTGAAGGACGTCCCTCTTCTATGATTCGACCACTATCCAGAACAACAACTCGGTCAAAGTCGAGCATGGTATGAACCCTATGCGCAACCATAATGATAGTGCAGCTCTGAAACTCCTGGCGAATGACTTTCTGAACCCTGGCATCTGTCTCTGCATCCAGACTTGATTGTGAATGGTTGGCATTGGTCGCATAATCATGTGTTGCCAGAAGCAAAAAGACAGAAATTACATACCTGCTTGTCGGTTCGTCTAGTATCAGAATATTACTCTTCTTGAGAAGCGCCCTAGCCAGGCAAAATAGCTGTTTTTGGCCTTCGGACAAAGTCGTGTCAGTCAGTATTGCATCTAGCAACACTCCGCTGTGGGCGGCGCTGTTCGTCGCAGACATAAGAGCATTCCAGATTTCGACGCATTTGAGAGCTTCAATAATATCGATATCGCTGGCGATGCCTAAAGGATCGACATTCTGCCGAATAGTACCTGGGAAAAGGAAGGCTTCTTGGCTAAGAGAGCTGATCCGGTACCGAATCAATGACCGAGGCACTGTCGATATGTCTATCCCATCGATAAGGATCTGGCCAGAAACCACCTCGTTAAGACGGAGTAATGATAGAGCCAGTGTGCTCTTGCCACTATAAGAGAGTCAGCCTATTCTCACCCCTACTGAAGTGTCTTCCCTCACCTTCCGGTCCTACCACACAGCCCAACTTTTTCCCCAGCACGAATATTCAGACAGATACCGTGCAACACGGGCTCTGCGTTCTCAGACTCATATGCAATATCTGCGCCAACGAATGAGATGTCACCCCTACTTGGCCATTTTGCGTCTGGTGGCTGCTCATAGGCTGCATCTTGTTCCTCACTTGGAGTATCTTCCGAGAAATCCTTGATCCTGGCAATCGCACCCAAAGAGGTTTCCAGAAGCGTCCAGTTCTGGATCAAGTATGAGAGTACTTCCCCCAGGTCCATCATCCCAATTAGCGCAATACCTAACAAACCGGGGCTCACTTGTCCGCGCAGAGCTATAGCAGCTCCGAGGAGAATAAGCGTCATGCCAGTCACCATGAGCTTCAGCACCAGGCCTAGCCATTGCTGAATACACAGTAGAAGATAGAAGGGCCTTTGCGCCCTATCAAGTAAGTGCAACATTTTGGACGTAGAAGCAGTAGTCCATGAAAAGGCACGGATGGTAACTACACCAGCGAGAGATTCAATGAAATGGGTGTAAAGGGGGCTTTTGAGCTCGATCCTAAGGGGTTGTCAGTTTGCTGAAATGCACAAGCATGCTGATTAAATTAAAGCGTTGTTAGCGCAGATAAACATACTCTAGCAGTCGAAGCTGGCGAGATGTACGCAGGTAAAAGCGCTGGATTAGCACTAACATCCCAACTAGGAAGGGAAGGGCTACAGCCAGATATGGCAATGCAGCTATAGCGATTGCAGCTTGTGAAAGCACCGTAAAGAGTTCTTGATGTCTCTCGGGTTAGGAAATACGTTGAATAAATGTATAATGAATGCACTTACGGAATCCTGTCGTGATAAAACCTCGGGGGAGGATCATGTCCACTAGCCTCATATCTTGGCTAAAACGGGTGATGAGAGAGCCCGTGTCTACGTGGGATAGGAAGGACAAGGGGGCACTAAATATGTCAGCTCGCCGATATTTGGATTAGTGAAGACCTGAGAATTTCACCTCATGCAAGTTTGCAGGACAGTAGCATGGACATTGTTCGACGCGGCCGGTACAATGACGACCCAGGTCCAACTTATAGATAGAATCCAATCAGCATGGAAACTTGAACGGAAAAAAAGAAGATTTCACTTACTATACCGCAAGAACCATTGAAATGGCTTCGATGAAGGACAATGCCCCATATACTCCAAGCCAGTAGCCCAATCCCGAGCTTGAAGCGCTGTCGGTGCTAGAGGACCAGATCTCAATCCAAGCACCTATGCAAAAATAAGCATCATATAGCATTGTTTATTAGACGAAGGGAATTTTGGCATACTTCGCAATCCACCAATGCCACCGTTCACCACCAGTAAGGAACTCAGCACAAAGACTCGGAGCCAGCCCATGGCAGAGAAATAGTACTTGTAAACAGCAATATCAGTCGTCTGTCGGCATTCATCGGTAAAGGCCGGGGTGGATAGGCGGCTTGTTATGACTTCACTAGTCTCTGGAGACCCAGTTGTATCGTCATCTTGCATCTTTTCTTTCTCAATCTGTTCTTTCTCAATCTGTTCTGGTTGAATACCTAGCCGGTTAATATATCCCCCGGCGTGACTGACAAGCTGAGAGAAGGTGCCCTGTTCCGAAATATTGCCATTCTCTCCGAGTACGACTATAAAGTCGGCCTGGGGTAGATATTGAACTGCTGATGGTCAGTATCTACCACGAGTGACAAGATAAAGATATGTAGGGTTGAGGAGCGCACCATTGTGAGTTGCAAGGAATACAGTACAGCCCAGTCGACGCAGCAGTCCGGACGGGCCAAAGACATTGTTAAATACCAGCCGAGCGGTTGAATTATCAAGAGCACTCAGAGTATCATCGAAGCACGCGATGCGCTTGCGAGCATAGACAGCTCGCGCTATGGCCTATAATAAAATCAGTTCACAAATCCATTGCTATTATTCCCGGGCCGGACCGCCCATATAGAGGGAAACATAGTTTGTACTCACGATTCTTTGCTTTTGCCCTCCGCTAAGTTTAGATCCTTTGCTACCGACGGACGACGCATCACCCGCTGGCATTTTTTTTAGGTCGGAGTCTAGCGCACATGCGCTCACCACGGTCGAATACCAATCAGAATCAAATGCAGCGGATCCATTCTCCCCAATGATGTTTTCCCGGATCGTCGTATTGGTAAGCCATGGAGTTTGCTCACAAAAAGCTAGGTCTGGGTACTTGATGAAAGCTTCGCCATTGAGAATGGACGTCTCATTTGCGAGACCTTTGAGAAACGTGGACTTTCCGCTTCCCACTGGACCGACAATTGCAACTAGGGTACCCAGCGGCGAGGGGCTCAGATTGAGTGTGATACCAGCACTATCCGAGGAAGGGTCATTCCAGCCAAACCAGGCATTTTGCAGGGAGATCAGCACGTCAGATTGATTCTTTGACGAGGAAATTCCCCTAGCCCCATGCCAGGGATAGGTGGAAAGTTCGAATTCGAATGAATTAGTAGGTAAAACAAGAGCATCTGCTTCTGATTGGAGCAATTTCCTTCTTTCTATACGTAAATGAGGTTAATTCGCTGTACGTCTTGCTTAGTAGCACGTATGGGAGTACTCACCGACAATATTTGGACGTCTCAAGAAGTCCTGGACTCGATACAGACACCCCATTGATGCGAATGCATCTGGAACTGCCAACAATAGATGCATAAGAGGAGTGATTAGCAGATTTATTAGTGAAAGGGCCGTGGTGGCTTGTGAGACGGAGAGACCTTCCGACCCTTGCACTTTCGCAACCACAGCATAGGTCGCGAAAGTAGCAAACTGCGCAATAATCACCGGAAGGTTTACTGAATAGGCTGGTCAGTTGATCCCGATATATTCAATCGAACTATCCGTAGCTGGACCTCCAATTATACGTACTCATGCAGACACGGACGGTTTGGATTCGGCGGAACTTCTTGGAGATCTCAAGCTCCTCAATCCTTAAGCCTTCAATGTATTTCTTTATGATCTCTGTTAGTCCTAAGAATTTCACGTTTTTTATTGAGCCGAGGACGTGGCTCGTGAAATTAATGCGTTTCTCGGTGGCTTGTAGCCATGTCTTCTGCCGAACGGACACAGCATTGCCCGTGGCAAAAGAAGCAGCGGTAAAAGCTAGCCAGTCTGTTAATCTCTTATGGTCATCAGTTCTCATGCAAATAGGCAGAGAACATACCTGTTGCAATTAAAATGGGTGTGATACAAACAACACCGATCTGAGTTTGAAGGATCCACGCGGCCAGTCCCAGCTGTAGGATACTAGCCCAAGATTCGCACACTGTAGAGTGAAAGTACTCCGCAAGCATTTCAACGTCAGCTCCCATAAGGGACATGGCACTAGACTCATCGGTGCTCCCCAGTGGCAGCTCCATCATGTGCTGATAGACAAGAGCCATAAGGCCACCGCGGACCATGGTCGTAGCACGAAATCCTAGGTGTTCATAAGATGCCGTAGTGACCTAAGTCACAAAAATCAGTCGGCCAATGACCATCGGATAGTGGGATAAGTGGTTGAATACATAATACTTACAGCAATCCCGATAAAGACAATCGCGGTGGCTCCTACCAACCCATAGCCAATATTCAACGAAGATTCAGTCTGCTCGAGGAATGTAACAGTCTTGCCAATTAGGAATGGCTGCGCTATGCTAAACCCTATCAAGGCGAGTCGAGGAAAAGCAATAGCAGCGATATCCCAGCGAAGGCAATTAACGACGGCCAGCAGCAACGCATGTTGACGGCTCTGGTCGCACAGCGCCCATGACTTAGAAAATCGGTCGGATAAATCACTAGACGATAGCTTCTCATGGATGTTAGGTAGCGTATCGCTAGTGAGCAACGAGGTGTGTCCTTTTCTCAGTAATTCATTGAGCCAGGCGAATAAGCCTCGGTTAAAGATACCGCTAGTTCTCTCGGCAGACTGTTCGGCCAGCAACAACCATTTGCGTTTTTCGATATTTGCCAGCACCAGGAGAAGCAATTTGGTGGCCAGAGATGCGGTGAGGCAGGTCGGGTATGCTCTACCATATGGCAACAGCCAGGCGGTGCGTACTCTCGCAATGTCTAGAAGCACCGTAATAAACAGATACGCAGAGACAAGGAAGGAAGGTCGAACAGCCCGGCTGTGCTCCAAATGAAGCAGAACAACAATAGAAATTGCCGCTATAAGGCTGAGGGTAGCACCCGCAACTGACACATTTTGTGCGGGGTAGTGCTGCGTCGCACTAAACACAAGCAGAACGACATGGATTCCGGACAATACTACCGCAATAGCCTGTATATAGCATTATTTAGACGTTTCAAGGTTCAACAAGTGATAGCAAGACTTACCAGCGTCGCCCAATGAGTCAACGAGGATTTTACTTTCAAAGACTCTCTAGATAGCTGGAACAGGCGAATGGGTAACAGCAGGAGAAAACAGGCTGCTGGGGTAATGTTGAATATCCATGCTTCGAATAGAACTTGCTTCCATGTCAGTATATGTGGAGACTGCCCAGGCGCCCAGACATTGGAGATATGTACCTGTAAAGTCGAACCCTCCACGACAATCATGTTGACTGATCACAGGCCCAAAAAGGCTGTCACATGTGTCCCCAACCACAGTCGGTGCCATTACAGCTACTGTGGTGGAACAACTTCTGGTGAATTTGAATTTGAGGGATGAAACTGAGCCCAAAGGACCAGGGGCTTGTTTGACGGTGGCCTAATGACGAATACCACTAACACCGCTAACTCCGTACGGAGTCCGTTGTGAGCGGCGATATTATATCTCTTGCCTTGTTGTTCGGGCTGCAATCCAAGTCATCCTATTTACCGGAGTCATGTGGATGGGTAGCCCTAAATAAGTCAAGTGTCTCGGCTTATGCACCGATCTATCCATGCTATTTATCGAATTGAACAAAAGGTTGAAGAATCAGAAGATAAAATTAACAACACTAGTTATATCAAAACACTGTACGGCGTACTTCGCTGACAAATACATAGAAAAACGGTGAAAACCAAGCACAAAATCCGACTCCCAAAACCGGAGATCGAAAAGGGAATAAACGAGCCTTAAGCACCAAGCCAACGAAAACAATAAGTGACAGAGAAAGGAACAAAAGATAACACCATGCCAAGAAGACCAGAAAAAGCAAAAGATTAAACTCAGTGGCAATTGAAACAGCGAGGGTGTCAGTCGGGAAAGGCGTGAATGACAGGAATCCTCAGAGGGCTGCAGCCTGACACAGTCAGGCGCAGGGTTGGGCTCAATATCATCGAGATGAAGGAGAGCGAGAGCAAGATTGACATGATAAACTCGTAATTATGGACAGGAAAAGAAGTTGAATGTCGGCCCCTCGGGAATTAGCGTGTGTAGAGAGAGGGGAAACCTGCCCATAAGGAATTTAAGGGTGCTCAGTCATGAAAGGGAAACCAAGGATTATCATGAACCGTGCAAATGCAAAATTCAGTCGTGGGATCATCAAAGGTCAACGGTTGCGTAACACCGTTGAACTTCCAAGGCGCCGAGAAATGAGGTGCAAGAGGTGGGATGCATTATGGGGAGGGAAGCAATGGCAGAACATCTAATAAGTTTCGTAGTCATCGGCCCACTCGGTGTCACTGCCAGCAACGCGCAGGACCTGCCCGGGATGCGGACCTTCTGGACTGACACTGCGAATACCCTTGGTCTTTTTGCCAGTGAGATCCGATCCATCCTCGGGTGCAAATCGTTTTCCTCCGTTTGCGGCACGGAGTTTGGAATAGTAAATGTCACTGGGATCGGCTTCTGATCCCGAGCCGTCCTCGAAAGTCTCCCAATTTTCAGATCCAGAGGTTGTTGTGTTGACTGTAGAGGAGTTGGAGACTTGGCGGGCAGCTGGCGGTGGAGCTGCGTGGTGTAGGTAAGGGTTAGGTCGTGGGAACACTTGGCTAGAGTTCAAAGACAGTGACGACTGTGAAGAGTGAGATGAATGGGAGAATCCAGTAGATCTTTGAGAGTTGGAGAATCCCGAAGTGCTCATGAAAGATCGCTGCCGGTCATCATAAACGTCTTCCGGGCTAACAGGCCGCACATAGGCACTAGACATGGCGCTATTGCAGCGCGGTGGCTCCATAAGGTGGCTGAATCGGTCTTCCCTTGACTCAATCGTCAACGCACGCATCCGTGGGGGAGGTCCACGAGGGGGCTGCATCTTTCCATTAAGTGTACCAGACGAGTAGGCGCCGGGCTGCATACGACGCTCAGGGGAGTTGGTTCCAAGGGGCATGTTTCCCAGCGGGACACGGGCGGGAAGCTTCGAAGGAGATGTTGCACCGGCTCTTGAGGTGGCACCGGCTCTAGAGGCACCGTAGCCAATGGTGTTGTGTTTAACTGGGCCGCTGCTAGTAGGAGTCTTGGTGGCTGAGCGGGGGGAGGCAGGCCTCTCATGGAGCTTGCAGGGCGGGCGGGTGGGTTTTGTCTCATTGCGCTTGCTTTGGTAGCTGAGGGTGTTGCAGATGGTGTCTTTGAGCGTGGTGGAAGCATTGACTTTACAGGTGTCAACAAATCAAGATATCGCTCTCCGTGCACTAGGAAGGGTCGGCCAAATTCGTCTTCCCAATATTCCAACTCCTTCCGCAGGTCAGCTTCAAGTTTCGGCAATTCTTTGGCGATTCTCTTGCGCATCTTCTCCTCCCTCAAGAGCTTTCCAGGATCACGCTTCTCTCCCTTGTTCCCGCGGCCCATGAGGCGGGATGCATCTTGGCTTGATGTTTCAAGTGCCTCGCGATCTGTCAAAAGAGTGCGGTGTCTGTCAATCATTTCGAGAGTAGGAGCGCGCTGCTCCTTAAGAGCTTCCAGTCGTGTAATTTCGGCCTCGTGAGCCTCAAGCAAAGCATCGCTGCACACATCGGAGAATGCAGGTGTGAAATCGAGCATTTCCTCTTCGGAGAAGAAAAGAGTGTCCCATAATTCCTGCAATCGGCATCGAGCATCCTCCACAAAGAGGTGGAGATTCTGTCTCTTAAGTTCGTTGAGGCGTGTCAACTCCTCTTCGAGGTCATTGATTATGCGCAAACCGCAGCCACGGTTCGCAGCCAGGAATGCCTTGCGATCCGCCTCCTCCACACCAAAGCGATCCCAAAGAGAGATTACGGTAGCTCTGAGGTCGTTGATCTTGCGCTCGCGGCTTTTCTTTTCTTCCACCAATTTATTGCGCTTGGAAATTAGGTTGCCGACATCATCTTCATGTAGCCCCAGTTGCTCAGGGGAATCGCGATAACACTTCACGATAGTGGAATCTGTTTGCGCCTGGGGTGTTCCGAGCTCGGCCCAGAGCTTGATCATTTCTTCGCAGGCAGATTGGACTTTGGCAATGCGGCGGTGGTACTCTTCGTAGACATGAGTGAATTCGGCATCCAATGCGGTCACATACATAGGCGAAAGGTCGAAGCTCGGGGGAATCGAGGACCCTGGTGCAGTAGGAGGAAGTTCCAGCTTAACAAATGATGGCTCGAGGTGAGAGGAGTAAGATTCAAGCGCGTCCACAAGTTCTATTGAATGTCAGTAAAGGGGCATCAGCGACACACCACACAGATAAGACTCACTCTTAACCTGCTCAAAGCGTTCCCGATGCAGCTTGCTCATCGAGTCGTTCTTCTCGCGCAAGAATGCAATACATTTGTTAAGTGGGTAAGTGACACGAAGGTCGTCGCGGTTAAGCTCGTATTGGCCATTGGCCCGTTCATCGCTCAGGGACGATTCCATTTGTTGAATAGCTGTAATGAGACGTTCCGCTTCTTGCGTCATATCTTCTCTCTCCCTAGAAATAGGATTAGCAAGCCTCCAATGGGTCTGTTTATGGATGCGACTCACTCATCAACAACCTTCAGATGATTGTTCAAGGTCTCTGACAGGGCGCTGAAGAGCTGTATCACTCTGTTAGCCACGCGACAATGCCATTGTTATACCAGAGAGCAAGCTTACCTCTGCTTCACGAGACTCGCGCTCCCGCGCAGGAACTCCAATTTCGTCGTAAATACCATGGAGCTGGGCGACGATGTTGTTGACCTGAGTGGTCAGGTAGCTGGTATCTACCGCCATTGTAATGAAAGTCCCTTAATGGAGGTGACAAAAGTCGAGGTTGATAACAAAATATTGTATGAACGATACAATGCCGAGCGAAGCTGCGACAGGGTGATCAATGTCGGGATCAAAACAGGAGAGCCTGACACACAGGGTTCTCAGCACACAAGGTGCGACGGAAATAAACGAAAGTGGAGGTTTGCGAAAGCACTTAGGGCAGCCACATAGGAAAGCGAACAACACTGTTGTTTATGAGGGGGGGCGTACGGAGATCGCAGATGATAGATAACATCAAGTTTCGTAAGGCGTAAGTGGGTGGGTGTTTTGGGTGAGACCGTCGTCAAGGGCAACAGCTGACTCAGCAAGCCCCACCGCCCGATACTGCCAATCAATGAACAACCCCACGGCCTTCTCTACTTCATGCATTCAGCTCTGATACTATTTATTCTCCGATCCTTGCAGAACTCACATTATCACCCGAGTCCTTGCCTTAAAGTACTCTGATCCTTGCGATACATTGTTTACCATTCGACTGTCTTCTCTTCTCTATCCCATCCACCCAAAATGCAGGCTGCCCAGCAGGCCTGGGGTGAGTACCTCCATACCGATATGAGCCAGCTTGTAATTAACTGATGTCCCCGCACAGAGCTGGAGAATGCGATAAGCGTATTTGATCCTCAACGAGACGCCCTCTACGAATACAATGCCGATACAGAAAAAGCCCTCAACGAGGAGCGACCATGGGCCACCGACCCATACTATTTCAAGCACGTCCGAATCTCCGCTTCGGCACTATTGAAGATGGTGATGCATGCCCGCTCGGGTGGCTCACTAGAGATTATGGGTCTGATGCAAGGCTACATCCTACCGAACACCTTCGTGGTGACAGATGCGTTCCGGCTGCCAGTCGAAGGCACCGAAACCCGAGTGAATGCGCAGGACGAGGCAAACGAGTACATGGTATCATATCTCCAGTCGTGTCGAGACTCGGGGCGGATGGAGAATGCTGTCGGATGGTATCACAGTCACCCGGGTTATGGGTGCTGGCTGTCTGGGATTGATGTGGCCACTCAACAAACACAGCAAATGACTGGACCGTTTGTCGCCGTTGTCATCGACCCGGACCGTACCATCTCCGCGGGTCGCGTTGAGATCGGCGCTTTCCGCACATTTCCATCGAACTTTACCCCGCAGAAGGAGGCTCATGAGGATGACGAGTATCAGACTATCCCGCTCGGGAAGGCAGAGGACTTCGGTGCGCATGCCAATCAATACTACTCTCTTGATGTCAGTCATTTCAAAAGCACCCTTGATACGGAAATATTGTCCCTTCTATGGAACAAGTACTGGGTCGCGACTCTCAGCCAGAGCCCGCTATTCACCTCTCGTGATTTCGGTAACAAGCAGATCATGGATCTCAGTCAAAAAGTGCGCAAAGCCGCACGTGGAATGGAGGCCACCGGCTCGAGAGCCGGTGGCGTCAACAGCAAAGATCAACAGCTGGATA